GTGGAACATTCTTCTTATATTACAGGAAGCGTCTTCTCTAATGAAATATCGATTTCAGAACTCTGTATCTTCATCAGGCACATAAAAAATACAAAGTAATTGTTTTCTCCTATGCCCAAAGATCTATAGACTGTTTGGTTAACTATAGATATTCACACACTATCCCTATAGGTTCCAAACCTGAGTCTCGAATATGTGTTATGTTTTGTTTAGGCATAAGTATTGTTTGTTTTATTATAGTTAATTTAAAAAATATTAAAACTACTGTTAATTAAATAATTTGTATTTTTCATTTTTCTTTTTATAGTTAGGATTTTTTTTAATATTTTAACCCCCCTTATCTCAGTTTTTTTTTTTAATTTCAACCCAACTTGACCCCCTATTTTAATTCATATTTGTTAAAAATCCATAGGCTTTGGCCCCTTATAGAGCTTAATTTTTGCTTAAAATTTTCAAGCTGATATAATTTCTCGTTTTTGAATTATCATTCAGATACAAAACGTGACATCGGACAGACGGACAAAGTAAACCTATAATACTCTTCACAGAATATTGTATAAAGAGTAGAAAAAAAATATATAAAGTTAAATAAACAGTTTAACAAGGGCAACAATAATATTCAACTTCTTGTATCAAAGGATACTAAAAGTTTAAAAAAAGGTAAATCGGCTTCATCTGTATTTTCAAATTATTGTTTAATTGTAGATAGTATATTAATGTTTTGATATGTACTCATAGGATTAATTACCTAGAGCATGTAAATATGTGGGATGTGACTTATTAAGTTCCTAATCAAAATCAAAATTTATGTTTAATACTTATTGTTCATACTTTATTGACATACTTTATTACCAACTGTAAGCTAATTTACCAACAGCCTTATTTTTATTTAATACCTGCATGATCCAAATTACCAATACATCTAATATTTTTGAAAAGATTTCAGGGTAACAAGATTGATAATTAACATATATAACATAGATAAATAACATATATAACACATATAAACTATTAAAATGTACATACCATTTCTTAGGTAAAATTTCTCATTGACTATATTAAATTAATGGTTGGTCCATTTTTCCGATTTAGACTTTTAAAGTGAAAAACCATTTGCTTCTTTATCTTTATCAAACGTTTATTGTACATTTGCATAATGATGTTAAGTAAATACCTTATAAGAATAATTAAATTTTTCCTTTTAACGGGTTTTGTGGGAAAACAAAAATTTACAAATTTACTTCATAGTATTTACAGTTGGTTACAAAATAGACCATTTTGAAGTAGTTTTAGAATTAGAATTAGACACTGAAACAAAATATAAAACAAATTAGATTCGTAAAACTTTATTATAGTTAAATAAAACTGTTACGAGTTTCTTTCATTTTTACCTGTTACTAATTATAAAAATTATTAAATAAATCCGGTTGCCTATTGCCTGGTAGTTCACTCGTAATTACCCCTGCTAGCTCATCAGTCAGGTGGGGTTTCATAAATTTATACCGCGCCAGGAATTTAATTAGGCCAACTAAAATCCCAAGATCCCTGCATTGCGTTCGGTTTGCCACGTTCCTTTAACTCCTTTAACACTTTTAACTCCAAACGACTCTTTTAGCGTTCGGTTTAGTCCGATTAGTGACAGTTTAACACGCTTAAATGTCATTTAAAAGCACCCTAAAATTTGTCCCGCTCCAGCCCCTGACTGACCGAACTCGCCTCTGGTTGTCAAGAGAATAGGCAACACAAAATATATCAATGAATATATGAATGGCAGTGGAGAATCAGTAATTATTATAAAAGTAAACGCTTACCTTGTATAGTCCAGTGTTCTACTGGACACTACAGAATCCTAGATGCAATGATAAACGACAATGTGTTGTTACTGGGTTTTATTCAAAAAGGTACATTGGCTACAACATCTAACCCTCGGGGTTATCAAGGCACTCCGTTTGTTCGAACAAAGGGGGGGCGGTGTTTACAGAGTAGATACAACTAGCTAGAAAGAAATAAATTAAAATATATGTTCACAACATTTGTGAGGCGAAAAGTAGTGCTTGACTATCACAGTCTGTAATCGAATGATTAAAAGAAATAAAACAACAAATTATTTATAAGAGGACTGTGATGGTCAACCTAACAATCTTAAAAACTAAAATCAAAATATACAAATCAAACCCAATAACAATTTTTTTTTTGTAACTTAATTAACACTGCCAATTAGGCATAAAAAAAAGGCGGTTTCGCCCAAAGAACAAGGTTACAGTAGAAAATATAAAAGGCTTAGTGCCTCTTAAAGGAGCACACATTCTCTACGAGTAGAGGGAATTAAGTTGTATAATGAAGCCTGCACCAGGCTGTACAAAACGAAAATGGTTTAATATTAATAAATCGATTGAGTGAACACTTAAAATATACAAAAAAAATAAACTTAACTTTACTGTCGCCCAATGAATAAGTTAGGTTTCTTAAACAATATCTGGAGCCAGAAGAACTTCTGGGGTCAGACAAACTTTTGATGTCAGGCAAAATGCCGGTTGGCACGTGATCGTCTTGGGACCGCTTAAGTCTTCTCGGGGTTCCAGCCACGAGAAGATAAAGTGGAAATACTCCGTTGACGGCAGGTTGTGCAGTGGGCGCTTTACGCAAACCGGGACAGGTTAACGTTAACAGGCCCAAACCATGCTCCATTTGAAGAAAAATGGTAGGTAAAATAACCAATTGCCATAATGGCCACCATGACGCCCAAAACTTCGATGAAGATGGCGGGTGCGGTATCGGGAACATGCGGAACTCGTTGTCGTTGACCACTAGCAGTCGTATTATTTTTATAAATCCTCCAACTGGAGTGGTTTCCGTGATTCTTTCAAACACAACAAGAATAAAATGAAGAAATGTCTTACTATTCTTAATATACAAACTTGGAAACGTCCACGAATACCGGCTCTAAATCCACAAACTGTATTACAAAACATATGGCTTGGTTTTCGTTAAAAATAAACTGAGCGGCACGAGGCAAGAGAACGATTTTCGTCCCAAAAATTAAGACAAGAAAGATTTGACGTCTTTCCACCTAACAAGGCCTATACAACAACAGAAATTCAGCCAGTCATACCATAGTACCAGCTGTGTACGATAATATTCCAGTATAAAAATTAATTATTTATATAACTTATCCTAAATACAACGACATAAACCTCAAAACACCTTTAAAAATAATTTTATTTACCTTGCCTTAAAGAAGTTTTTCAGGAACAATCGTTGAATTGATACACATACAGTTCATCAAATTTCTAGAGGTGTTCGACGCCCAGACAGAGAACGCGCTACAAGTGACTAAGATAGCTATTGTACAGTCTGCTAAACAAGTTATTTTAAATAGTTTTTAATATTTTTAGGTAATTAAATTTTAAAAGTGTGGAATAGTTTAGGGATTAAATTGGTCTGATTGGACTTTCTTAGAACGTTTTTAAAAGCAGCTAAAGATAGAATGTAGAATTGAAAATAATTATTATGCCATAAAAGGTGTTTTGGAATTCCTTCAACCTTTTGAAATTGAGTCAGAAAATATAAATTTTATAGGATAGCGGAAAATACCTATAATTTTTTTGTAGGCCTTTGTAAATCGTGGAAATAGTTTATATTTTATTTCTACCTTATTAAGGAAAATGGTACCTATTATTAATAAAGGTTGTTTCTGAAACATTACTAAAATTTTCGAAATTTTGTTTTTCTACAAAATAATAAACTATACTATTTAGAAAAATATTTATTTCTCTTATAATTTTATAAAAAATAACAGGGGAATATTTACATTTCTTGATCTATTAAACAAAACGATAAATTATCTCGACGAACGACACCATGTTCTAGTACGGAAGCTAGCTTTACATTTTTGTTGGTGGTTTCATGGGTTTCATATCAATTTTTTGTAATTGTAGTTTACACGTACATATACCTCTTAACACTTGTTTGCTTTATTAAAAAAGTGTGTTGTTGTGATTTACGTCGAAATAAGTCAAAAACAACTTGAAACCCCATATAAAATCAAAAAGGAGAAACGGAAAAAAATTGAGCCTGTAAATGAACACAACTCAGAAACAAAAATAGCTATCTAATAATAAAAAAATTAAATTTGATTCTTGTGCAGCTTCATCTATATCATTAACTGTTTTTGGTTTTTTAATGGTTTTTCTTGGTGATGAAAATTCCGATATCTCACGGTTATCGATTCTTTTTTTCTCTCCAGAAATGCGGACGACAGTGTTTTTAGATACTCCTGTGGCTGCAGCAACACGATCATTTACATTTTTAAATGGTATTGAAGGTGAATTAAAGTTTCCTTCTCTTCTCATAAACTCTATAACATTGGCTATTATTTCGCGAGATTGACTGTTAATCACGCGGCCTCTTAATTTGCTATTAAACTCCATACTTAGGTTCTATTAAACTGTAATGAGCAAAAAACACAAACGAAAATAAAAGAAATGTTTTAGCGAAATTTACATCTGACATTTACGTCTGAATGAAATAGTGAAATACTTGATGCGCAGAGTGTACTTTCATTGCGTAAATCTGTCGGGATGCCTGTCAGTAGTGCTTTCTCTGTCTAGCCGTCGAAAGCCTCTAGAAATTTGATGAACTGTACTTTCAATTTATTAATGTCACAGTTCTTAATTAAACATATTTTTCTTTTTAGCGGGTTTTGTAGGAAACAAAAAATTTACAAATTTTTGCTTACTTCTTACTTCATAGTATTTACAGTTTGTTACAAAATAGACCATTTTGAAGTGGTCTTAGAATTAGAATTAAACACTGAAACAAAATATAAAACAAGTTAGATTCGTAAAACTTTATTATAGTTAAATAAAACAACAACTTTAAAATAATTTTATTTACCTTGCCCTAAAGAAGTTTTTCGGGAACAATCGTTGAATTGACACACATACTTTCAATTTATTAATGTCACAGTTCTTAATTAAACACATTTTTCTAAATGAGCACAAATAATTAAACAATTAATTAAACAATTAAAGTTTCATAGTAGAGGTTGGTAGAGGAATGACGGAATGACAGTTTGTTTCATTTGGTACAGTGAAATTGAACTGGGTGTTCACTGCACAAATGAACCAATGGAGAAACCGCCCTTGTAAAAACCAATAATTAATTTTTTTGCGAAAATATGTGTTGTTTTTTTAAATACTAACTCTAACTAGGGGGCGCCAAAATAGGGAATGGCACGCGGCGGCTTAAGTCCTCGTGAGGGCCCTGCACATTACCTACTTGGTCGATGGCTAATCCCGACCCAAATTTGTTCCAGAAAACACGTACGCCGAAGCTACAAAAACCTACATGTCTAAAGTACCTAAAGACCCACACATACTTAATTTAAGAAAACTCACAGTTTTGGGGGGCGTTTATCACGTAAACTATCTTCACCAGCCGCCGCAACCTCAAGAATTCGCTTCGGTACCAAATTTAAGCATTACAAGGCGTAAGTACCAAAATATTACGTTTTATAACTCTTGTGATCGAATATCTTCTAGTATATCTTCCTAAGGAACTTCAACACGTCGACTTCTTCGCAGAATATGAACCACCTGCAGCGACGGATCCGAATGTGCGCAAACAACCTGAACAAATCGAAGAAGAAATGAGGAAGCAGGAAGAAGCACTTGACGGATTGATATTTATAGATTTGACGTAAGTATTTACTACTAGTTCGTGCACTCCGTTTTGATCACTTTTTATTTGTCTTTTGAAGTTTGACGTTGTGTTTGGAATTGTAGAATATTTTAAACAAAAAAATATATAATCAAGCAAAAATAACAGAAAATACTAATAATAAACAATTGTGAAAAGTTGTGCAAGAGTTACGTGGGACAAAAAACAAAAATCTTCTGTTGGTGCTATTAAAATAATAAGAAAGAAAAATACTAACATGCGGGCAGTATTTCTAATATATTTAACTGAATAGATTTCAAAGATGAATTTTATAATTAATACTACAAGATGGTTTTCATGAATCCCTTTTCAGAGATAATTTTGTAAAGTAAACTACCACATGTTCTTATTCAATCTCTTTATTTCTTATTTGTATCTACATTTTATAATGGGTGGTGTGAATAAAGTGAAGCACTAGCTTAAAATATGATTTTTGGAAGCAACTGCTTTAATTCAATTGAATAAAATATGAAGAAATTCCTCGGCCAAGCAAAAGCTTGGTTTTTCCGGAAAGCCGAGCAATTCCTTTAAAATGGTGTAAATAAAAATTAGATACTTCTTTATATCTAAGCAACTACTTGGATTTTTTGAAGTCTGGGGTACAGCAGGCTTCATTTATCTAAGTAGTGATTATGGCGATGTTCATGAATGTACGCAACGTTAAAACTTATCGTGAAAGAAGACAAGTAAATTCAAAAGAACTGCTGCGTTTTCAAAACGAAAGTGTTGATTTTTTGACAAATGAATTTTTGCCGGAAAGGGTTGAATTTCGTGGTGGTGCGTTGACTTCGAGACAAAAAATGGAGATTCTTTTGCGATTCGTAGGGGACCCAGGTTTTCAATCTGGAATTGCTGAAGATATTGGCGTGCACCGAAGTACAGTGTGTAAAACTGTAAATTTTGTGATGGATCAGATAATTAGAAGAGCTAATGACTGGATCCACTTTCCCTCGACAGCAAGAGAAATGAATGAAGCAATAGTTTTGTGGCAAACTCGCTTTCATATGCCCTCGGTAATAGGTGCTTTAGATTGCACGCACGTCGAAATAAACAAGCCATCAATATTTGGTGATGAATACGTCAACAGAAAGGGTTACACTAGTATTAATGTGCAGGCTACGTGCGACGCAAGTGAAAAAGTCACAAGCATCAGTGCGGAGTGGCCGGGCAGCGTTCATGACTCACGTATATGGAGGAGAACCCCATTTAGAAACATCCTGTCGAGATTTGATGGTTCTGTTTGTTTACTGGCTGATTCTGGTTATGGAATTTCGCCATGGCTAATCACACCTTTCAAGCCGGCACATACGGAGGCACAAAGGATTTTTAACTTGCACCACTCACAGGAGCGTGTTGTGATAGAAAGGGTCTTTGGACAAATAAAAAGGAGATTTCCAATTCTAGGAAACTGTGTTAGGGTTAATATAGAGAGGGTACCAAAAGTGATTGTAACTTGTGCTATTTTGCACAATATTGCCAAACATCTGAATGATCGGTTCGAATTTGAAGATCAAATAGATGATAACGAAAATATTCATGAAAATGCAAATGCTCAAGATCAGTACGAGAATGCAGCAACCAGATTACGCGGGGAACAAAAAAGACAAGAAATGTTGGAACAGTTGGGTATTTAAACTGATGATAATTGTAAAAATTTGTTTATTTGGCACATACTTTCATACTGTATTTTATTTATCTAAGGAGTTGCTTATTTCAATTTTTCTAGTACATAAGGTATCGAAAAAGTCTGGCAACAAGGTATTTTCGCTCAAACATGTCATCATATTATTTCAGCCCTTTGCTCAGCAACGCCAACCCTTAAAATTTGATTAGGAAAGAGAGATCAAGTGACACATCATTTTAAAGGGCGTTTATTTCTTTTTCCAATGATATTCAAATTTATACCCTAGACGAAAATAAACTTTCATATGAGGTGCCACACTTTTTTACCCTAAAAAGGGCACAAAAATCGAGGTCTGGTGAATAAATTTGGGTACCATTGGAAAGAGAATTAAACGTCCTTTAAATCGATGTGCCATTTGATCTCCTTCCCTATTCAAATTTTAAGGGTTGGAATTGCTGAGCAAAGGGATGAAATGATACGATGATGGTTTTTATGTCAAAATGTCCCCCTCGAGGTCAAAATTATCCGAGCGATTTTCCTAAAATCTATTTATTCTACCCGAAAATACCTTTTTGCCACTTTTTCGCTACCTTGTATTTGTTTACTAAGTACTATTATAAAGGGCGCTTTAAAAAAATTCTTGTTAGTTTTAATACATTTTACTAAACCTTTTGGAGAAAAATATTGATGTATTACAAGATAAGGCACAATCACAAAGGAACTAAAATATTTATTCACAATTGTTCATATAAAATAAAACACCCAGTTTCTTCCTCTGTGGTTTGAGTTGACTCTTCTTTACAGTTCTTACTCATACTTTCCTTTAGCTTCTTTTCTCACTCTAATTTGATTTTATTTATTTCAAATTGTTGTAATAATACGATTCGTTGAAGTTGTGGTATTGATACATTTTTGTTTCATCGCATTCATACTGCTTCACAATTTTAGCACTTTTTCTCATTTTCTCAATTTTCGATCTTTTCGTCACTTGCTCTTGTACTTCATCTACCTCTTCATCTTCGTTTTGATTACTTACATTTACATTATCCACAGTTACTCCGACGGTGAGACTACCAGGCACTTTAGAAAACACTGGATTATTCTCATCGCTGATGATGGCAAAAAAATCTTTCTCCCACACTTTTAGTTTTATTGTTTTATTGCCCGTGGCTTTGACATCGGTCTTTTTTTTTACGATTGTCTTCATATTACTAAGCATTTTAGTCAGCTGTACTTTCGTCACTTGATGCCCCGTTCCTTTTGCATATAGCGCCCTAATTGTTTCCCACGCTTCTTTTTTCTCCTGTACAACTGCCGGTAATTTAGATTTTTCTAAGACAACTTTGTTATCTGCCAATAATTTGTTGAATAAACGCCGATCAAACTTTTTTCCCATAAAACCCTCATCTTCGCTAGAACTTGACATGTCTACTTAGTTTATTTACTAATTAAGACTGACCTAGACAGACGTGATGTGAAGCGGCGATAGAACGAGAAACTTTCATGTCACAACTTGACTTTTGAAGTAAGTGCTCGACTTTTGTCCGTTGAAGCAAATGCTTGACCAAGTTACAGCTTCGGTTTTTCCGGATTCGACTTCGTTTCGGTAAGCAATTACTTCATAGAGGCAACTCATGTTTATTCACTCCGTTTTAAGCAACTGCTAAAACTAACAAGCTATTGCTTCAAGCTATTGCTTGAGTTTATTCACACCACAAATTATCACAGAATAAACAATATGCAATAACAATTAATATTTAATTATTTAAATGTATATTTAAAAAAATATTATTATTTCAATTTAAATGTCTTCAATTCAGTGTTTTGAAAGTAAGTCGGCATTTTTTATTACGATTTAAACATTGAACTTGAGCTGAAATTGGAACGTGTTTATTATTAATTGCATATGAAATTAAACATTTTAATTCAATAAATAATGAATTTCATATACAGGATGTTAATTTACTAGGTGAATATAAAGAAAAATGTTCAAATCTGAACATTAACAAATAAACTTTATGATGCTATTAACCCAATGGACAGTTTACGAACGAGTTGGAATATTGCTCCTGTTCATCTACGTCTGTCAATCTTTGACATTCTCTTCTTATTTGTTAAAGAACCATTTTAAATTAACCTATTTGTAGTCTGACTAGTAAAGTCACAATATGAGCACAAAGATTACAAGTTACAACTAATTAATTGTAGAAAAAACTTCAAAACTACTACTGGCAGACACCCAACACCAAAAAATTGCGTTATCCCTTTATAAAATCCTGCGGTGCGCACGAGGCTGGGCTGAACAATAATCGGCCTAGGCAAGAAAACACAACTTTTTTTGGCAAAACTCAATTTATTTCTCAACATAGTCCCCTTTGAGCTCTATACACTTTGTCCAACGATTCTCCAATTTTTCGATGCCCTTCGAATAATACGATTTCTTGAAGTCCTTAAAATAGGCCTCTGTCGCAGCGATGACCTCCCCATTCGACTCAAATCTCTTACCACCGAGCCATTTTTTCAAGTCTGGAAACAGATAATAGTCGCTGGGCGCCAAATCTGGGGAGTATGGCGGATGAGGAACCAATTCGTAACGCAATTCATACAGTTGCATTGCGACTGCACATTTGTGCGCCGGTGCGTTATCCTGGTGGAAGAGCACTTTCTTCTTCGCTAAATGCGGTCGTTTTTGCTTCAAATCGTCGTCGAATCGGTCCAACAGCTTTGAGTAATAATCGCCGGTGATGGTTTTGCCCTTTTCAAGGTAATCGATATAAATAATACCATGCGCATCCCAAAAAACTGTGGTCATGACCTTGTTGGCAGACAGACCCACCTTAGCTTTCTTTGGCTTTGACTCGCCCTGAGAAACCCACTGCTTTGACTGTTCCTTCGTCTCTGGCGTATTGTGATGAATCCATGTTTCATCCACGGTTACAAAACGGCGCAAAAACTCCTTATTGTGGTTAAACATTGCCAAACATTCCTTTGAAGTTGTCACACGGTTTCGCTTGTTATCGGCATTGAGCAAACGCGGCACCCATCTGGCAACGAGCTTCGTCATTCCCAAATATTCGTGCAATATATTCTCCACTCGTTCACGTGAGATGCCCATAGCCTCAGCAATCTCACACACTCTTACCCGTCGATCGTCAATTACCATACCATGGATTTTATCGACCACTTCTGGTGTGGTGACCTCTCTTAGACAGCCTGGACGCTCATCATCAAAAATTATCGTACGACCGCGTTTAAATTCGGCAGTCCAATATTTTATTGTTGAAAACGAAGGTGCAGAGTCCCCATACACATCATCCAGTTCGATTTTGATCTCATCGTTCGTTTTCTTTTTTAAAAACAAGAATCTAATCACTGCGCGATATTCGATTTTATTCATTTCACTGTCAAGTACAAACTAAGTGACGGAGCTCGCTGAAAATTTGACAGAAGTCCCTTGAAAGATAGTTTTTACGAAAAACAATTGCATTTACTCCTAGCGCCGCCAACTCTTGCCGAGGTCGATTATTTCTCAGCCCAGTATTACTAATCTACTCGTAGAATGGGTCACAAAATATTGATCTCAATCACAAAGCTGGATCAGTAATCTATTCGTTTCCGAACACGGATTAGGTTGGTAACCATAGGTAAACGAACAATAGGATCCATAATCTTTCTGATCCGAGTAAGTTTCTGAAAACGCCTAATGTGTTTACGGATAATATACTCTTGAAGACGTTAGACAATATAAGCATAAGAGGCCACTGTATAGAATTATTTAGAAATGTAACATGTAAAAATAGGTGATACAATCAAGTGATTAAAAGCTGAGCTTACAATATGGTGTTCCGCAAGGCACAATTCTAGGACCAGTACTATCCAATCTATAAACGAGTTATTTTCAATACAAAGTACAGGTCATAATTTTTGGATGATACTTCAATTATATATAAAAAAGACAACTAAATATAACTGAAGGAACTGAAGACAACTGAAGAATAATGAAGACAACTGTTGAAAACTGAACACAACTGAAGACAACAACAACCGAAGACAACTACAGACAAATAAAGACAACTGAAAACAGCTGAAAACAACTGAAGACCGCTGAAGACCGCTGAAGACAACCGAAGAAAACTGGATACAACTGAAGACAACTGGGGAAAAATGAAGACAATTAAAGACAATTGAAGGCAATTAGAGATAATTGAACACAATTGAAAACAACTGAAGACAACTAAAAGTCGAAAAGGATTTTATACTTATAAATCGTTGGTTTATGATGTAATTAACAGGAACACGGCACGTATATGTGTTTCTGGATAATATACTCTTGAAGACGTTCGAAAATATAGGCATAGATGCCACTTCAAAGAATTAATTAGGAACTCTTTCTATTAAGCAACTGAAAAAAACTGACGACAAGTGAAGAAAATTGAAGACAATTGGAGACAACTGAAGACAATTGAAAACAACGTTGGTTTATGATGTTATTAACAGGAACACGGCACAACTATGTGTTTCTCGATAATATACTCTTAAAGACGTTAGAAAATATAGGCATAAGAGGCCACTGTATATAATTATTTAGAAACTATCTTTCTATTTGGCAACATGTAGAAATAGGTGATACAATCAGTAATTAAACTCAGATTACAATATGACGTTTCGCAAGGCACAATTCTAGGGACAGTACTATTCAATCTATTAATGAGTTATTTTTAATACAAAGTACATGTCAGAATTTTTTGAACATACTGCAATTATATATGAAGAAACTGAAGACAAATAAAGACAACTGAAGACAACTGAAGACAACTGAAGACAACTGAAGACAACTGAAGACAACTGAAGACAACTGAAGACAACTGAAGACAACTGAAGACAACTGAAGACAACTGAAGACAACTGAAGACAACTGAAGACAACTGAAGATAACTGAAGACAACTGAAGACAACTGAAGCCACCTGAAGAAAACTGAAGACGACTTTAGACGACTGAAGACAGCTGAAGACAACTGAAGACAACTGAAGACAATTGCAGGCAACTGAAGACAACTGAAGATAACCGAATGAAACTGAAGAACACTGAAGACAATTGCATAAAACTGAAGACAAATGAAAGGCCACTAGAATTATTTAGAAACTATCTTTCTATTAGGCAACATGTAATTGAAGACAATTGAAGACAGTTGAAGACAATTGAAGACAATTGAAGACAATTGAAGATAATTGAAGACAATGGAAAACAATTGAAGACAATTGAAGACAATTGAAGACAATTGAAGACAACTGAAGACAATTGAAGACAATTGAAGACAATTGAAGACAATTGAAGACAATTGAAGACAATTGAAGACAATTGAAGACAATTGAAGACAATTGAAGACAATTGAAGACAATTGAAGACAATTGAAGACAATTGAAGACAATTGAAGACAATTGAAGACAATTGAAGACAATTGAAGACAATTGAAGACAATTGAAGACAATTGAAGACAATTGAAGACAATTGAAGACAATTGAAGACAATTGAAGACAATTGAAGACAATTGAAGACAATTGAAGACAATTGAAGACAATTGAAGACAATTGAAGACAATTGAAGACAATTGAAGACAATTGAAGACAATTGAAGACAATTGAAGACAATTGAAGACAATTGAAGACAATTGAAGACAATTGAAGACAATTGAAGACAATTGAAGACAATTGAAGACAATTGAAGACAATTGAAGACAATTGAAGACAATTGAAGACAATTGAAGACAATTGAAGACAATTGAAGACAATTGAAGACAATTGAAGACAATTAAAGACAATTAAAGACAATTAAAGACAATTGAAGACAATTGAAGACAATTGAAGACAATTGAAGACAATTGAAGACAATTGAAGACAATTGAAGACAATTGAAGACAATTGAAGACAATTGAAGACAATTGAAGACAATTGAAGACAATTGAAGACAATTGAAGACAATTGAAGACAATTGAAGACAATTGAAGACAATTGAAGACAATTGAAGACAATTGAAGACAATTGAAGACAATTGAAGACAATTGAAGACAATTGAAGACAATTGAAGACAATTGAAGACAATTGAAGACAATTGAAGACAATTGAAGACAATTGAAGACAATTGAAGACAATTGAAGACAATTGAAGACAATTGAAGACAATTGAAGACAATTGAAGACAATTGAAGACAATTGAAGACAATTGAAGACAATTGAAGACAATTGAAGACAATTGAAGACAATTGAAGACAATTGAAGACAATTGAAGACAATTGAAGACAATTGAAGACAATTGAAGACAATTGAAGACAATTGAAGACAATTGAAGACAATTGAAGACAATTGAAGACAATTGAAGACAATTAAAGACAATTAAAGACAATTAAAGACAATTAAAGACAATTAAAGACAATTAAAGACAATTAAAGACAATTGAAGACAATTGAAGACAATTGAAGACAATTGAAGACAATTGAAGACAATTGAAGACAATTGAAGACAATTGAAGACAATTGAAGACAATTGAAGACAATTGAAGACAATTGAAGACAATTGAAGACAATTGAAGACAACTGAAGACAATTGAAGACAATTGAAGACAATTGAAGACAATTGAAGACAATTGAAGACAATTGAAGACAATTGAAGACAATTGAAGACAATTGAAGACAATTGAAGACAATTGAAGACAATTGAAGACAATTGAAGACAATTGAAGACAATTGAAGACAATTGAAGACAATTGAAGACAATTGAAGACAATTGAAGACAATTGAAGACAATTGAAGACAATTGAAGACAATTGAAGACAATTGAAGACAATTGAAGACAATTGAAGACAATTGAAGACAACTGAAGACAATTGAAGACAATTGAAGACAATTGAAGACAATTGAAGACAATTGAAGACAATTGAAGACAATTGAAGACAATTGAAGACAATTGAAGACAATTGAAGACAATTGAAGACAATTGAAGACAATTGAAGACAATTGAAGACAATTAAAGACAATTAAAGACAATTAAAGACAATTAAAGACAATTAAAGACAATTAAAGACAATTGAAGACAATTGAAGACAATTGAAGACAATTGAAGACAATTGAAGACAATTGAAGACAATTGAAGACAATTGAAGACAATTGAAGACAATTGAAGACAATTGAAGACAATTGAAGACAATTGAAGACAACTGAAGACAATTGAAGACAATTGAAGACAATTGAAGACAATTGAAGACAATTGAAGACAATTGAAGACAATTGAAGACAATTGAAGACAATTGAAGACAATTGAAGACAATTGAAGACAATTGAAGACAATTGAAGACAATTGAAGACAATTGAAGACAATTGAAGACAATTGAAGACAATTAAAGACAATTAAAGACAATTAAAGACAATTAAAGACAATTAAAGACAATTAAAGACAATTAAAGACAATTGAAGACAATTGAAGACAATTGAAGACAATTGAAAACAATTAAAGACAATTAAAGACAATTAAAGACAATTGAAGACAATTGAAGACAATTGAAGACAATTGAAGACAATTGAAGACAATTGAAGACAATTAAAGACAATTGAAGACAATTGAAGACAATTGAAGACAATTGAAGACAATTGAAGACAATTAAAGACAATTGAAAGTCGAGAAGGATTGTACACTTATATAACGTTGGTTTAACTACTCTTATAACTTACTATCTAAACATTTTCAGAAAACCTATTACATCTTCAATTTGTTCTGTTGAAGAACCGTTTTGTTTATTTCTTGGAAATGCTTAAAATATTTCTAAATTTTATAATTTTTTATGATAAAATTTTATGTAAAATCGATTTATGGTGTTCTTTTTGTCCAATTTATAACTTGTAGATGGCCTCAACATGTAATATTCTTAGAACTACCAATAGTATGTATATGGATAGAAGAAGATAAATGTTGGACGAAGAAATACGTTCACGATTTAAAGCATAACGAAGAAAAGGGTACCCTGTCGTTTATGACGCAGTGTTTTGGTATTTTCGGTTTGGCCACTTTACGTTATGCAAATTTACCTTTTCAAGCTTGGGATATCAAACCTGAATCAGAGTGAGTAATAACTATTAGTAAACGATGATAATTAGCAAGATGCATGTCGATAATTTTCCAGAGGAAATATATTATTGGGTCTAATCTCTATACGACTTAAACAAAAGTTCCGCGCAGCAAAACAGCATGATACTGTAACGATATTTTAATTTATTTATAGTTTATTTATTTAAAACACACTATTTACAATTTATTTATGACGTACTAATTAATTTATATAATACTAACTCACAATTCTAATTTATTACAATTTAACTTTTTATTCCAACACTTTATTCGAATCTGCCCGTCCGACGATAAGTCGTGCTATTTATACCAAGCCCATCTCTGTACGAGAAGTTTCTAGACGATGTGGAATGTCCTAATTCCAATTCTATGACTTAACGGCACATACACATACTGCTTGTTCTGGTAGTTTCCCGAGAAGCGGTACGTTTGTCGCTATACGTCAGCGGTGTTTCGATTATAAGTCGGGTGGCAGGCTTGAAGGTCGCTTACTTAGACAGGGTTGGCTCCACGTCACATACGCACAAGCTCGACTGTTATTGGTTTTAAATGTTTTCCTACCCTCTAGCTGAACTGCTGAATGTGCTGTGGTCAAAGAGCATTTTGTTTACGAGAAACTTTCTTTTAAATTAAATAGAGTAACTATTATACTTTCTTTTTTTATATATTATAATTAGCTGCTCAAATAATAGTTCGTCTTATTTTTGGATTTATTTTTAGCGGATCGATTACATTTAATATCACCACAGCTATAATAATCCTAGAATTCAATATTAAAAATGGATTAATGTGTATTTCTCAACTACAAAATAGTCCCAATAAGGCGCTTTTGGACCAAATTGGGAAATATGTGAAGTTACATGTAATTAAAAAGGTAATTTAATTCATTGTTTGGTTCCGTAGTCTATCCGAGTAACATGCTCACACCATGTCTATCTTATACATATATAATAGATATTATTAATAATTAAGTCAAGTGTAAGGGTTAAAGAAAAGGTCCTTTATTTCTCACAAGTCAATTTAATTGGCAACCGGTTTCGAAGCTGTCACTTCATCATCAGGCACACCTAAATGGAATGTCAAGGAGTCAGTTGTAATAAAAAACAATTATAAAAGCATGAACGGACTTTAACATATACAAAATAACAGAAAAAACACAAAAGAAGTTAAACAATAACCTTGACTCACCTTGACTATTTCCATAAAGGAAGCGCTACTAAAAGTTTAACAAAACGAGTTAAAAAAGTCATATGTAATACAATAGTATTTTTTTAAAATATTGTAGGTTAGGTTAAACCGCGAGATGTCTGTTTGAATAAATTAATTAAAACACATGTAAGACTATTATTAACTAAACAACACAAAATAGTTTTTACAAGCACAAACAGTTTAAAAATTTTTAAGGATATAACGTCAATTAATAAAAATAAAAAGTAAAAATTATCAGACTCTCAAGACATCTATCTAGATTTTTTAACGAATCAATGTAGTAAACTGTAAATTTTAAATTTAGCGGATAAATAGTGTACTAACAAAGGAGTTATTTACTGAAAGTGAGTATAGACAAAATTTATTGAAAGTAAAAATATTAAACTGGGAAATGAGAAAGCAAAAAATACTAACAAGAAAATTAGAACACTGAACAAGAAAATATGAAAATTCATATGTAAAAGGGAAATTTGAAGCAGATAATCAAAAGAAAAATTACTGTTACAGGAAACGGAAACTAAGTTGACAAGTACGAATGTCAAAAAAAGGGGGAAGGTCAAATTTTGGCGTATGACAACCACGTGGGAGAATTTGAATAAACTAATAAAACATTTAATAAGATGCGAGTGGGCAAAAAATTAATGGAAACAGAGAAGAGAATCTAAATTGGGAGAGTTAATTAATTTGTGGTAAGTAACTGATTGAAGATCAAATGAGTGTGGGTATAAGTCTGAAATTAATTTAAATAAGCGCAGAGAACGTTGGGGTACTAATAAATTGAATTTGTGCATTCAGAGAGCAGGAGGGGCCAGATTTAATATTTTTTAAAATTTCCAGGTTCTCAAAGTTATTCAGAAGGAATTTATTAGAAGTCATATGCAAAATGTCGAAGCCAATGCTAGAATCAAAATCGTGACCAGTGTCTAACAAATGAGCGGCAAAGTGAGAAAAACCAGTAGTGTTAGTGTTAAGACAGCGTGTGTGCTCTTTCAGGCGTATTTTAAAATTACGAAAGGTCCTTCCCACATATGAGCATGGACAGTTCAAACAAGTTAGTTTGTAAACACCAGACTGATCCATAGGATCAATCTTATCCTTATTCCTAACAAATAGGCTACTGATCGAGTTGGACGTTCTAAAGCTAATTCTGAAGGAATCTTTGAACAAGTTGGCTATACGATATGAGAATTTTCCAATAAAAGTAAGTGAAACATACTTACGATTATCTGCTTCAATATTGGGAAGGGGGTCAATTATGTAACTATTGTTCTGATTACGTTTATTCTGTTTTCTATGAAGCATTTTATCTATTAAGTTCTGATCATAATTGTGACTATTAGCAATTTGTTTGATAACATTGAGTTCTTTATTAAAGTTATCTACTGATAGTGGTACTTTCAGAAGACGTTCCAAGTAACAATTAAAAGCTGCTAACTTATGTGTAACTGGGTGATTGGATAAATTATCAATAACAACCCCTGTGTGAGTAGGTTTTCTAAATATGTTAAATTCCAACTTAAGATCTGTACAATGGGATATAGTCAAGGAAGTTGATAGATTTGTTGTTTTCTATCTCTAATGTAAATTTGATGTTACTATGTATGGTGTTTATATAATTTAGGAAGTTATTTAACTTATCCAGATCACCAGTCCATAGTATCAGTATGTCATCAACATACCTATGATAGAATTTAATAGCTGAGCAAAAAGGATTGTTGTTTAATATATTGTTATTCTCAAAATTATGCATAAAGATGTCTGCAAGTCGGATGTTTATGATGAAATGCCAATAAGGCCTGTGGTGTCCTTTGTCAATTCCCCAACATATTACACCTCAAAATGGCTTAATGATATTCTAAAAGAACACTACAAGGATTATTTTGTTCATACAGTAAAGAACAGTGTACAATTGATAGAAAAAATCAAAGATGTTCATGTCACTGACACAGATTACTTAGTTTCGTTAGATGTATCAAATCTTTTTACTAATGTACCTATCGCAGAGGTTTTAGAATACATCAAATCTTACTTGTCTTTATCTACCTTACCAGATGTAGAACTGTTGGAACTTATGAACTTATTAACAATTAGTCTTGAACAAAACTTCTTCCTCTTTAATAATGAAATTTTTACACAGACAACAGGATTAGCTATGGGTTGGCCTTTATCTCCTATACTTGCAGACATCTTTATGCATAATTTTGAGAATAACAATATATTAAACAACAATCCTTTTTGCTCAGCTATTAAATTCTATCGTAGATATGTTGATGACATACTGATACTGGATAAGTTAAATAACTTCCTAAATTATATAAACACCATACATAGTAACATCAAATTTACATTAGAGATAGAAAACAACAAATCTATCAACTTCCTTGATTTAACTATATCCCATTGTACAGATCGTAAGTTGGAATTTAACATATTTAGAAAACCTACTCACACAGGGGTTGTTATTGATAATTTATCCAATCACCCAGTTACACATAAGTTAGCACCTTTTAATTGTTACTTGGAACGTCTTCTGAAAGTACCACTATCAGTAGATAACTTTAATAAAGAACTCAATGTTATCAAACAAATTGCTAATAGTCACAATTATGATCAGAACTTAATAGATAAAATGCTTCATAGAAAACAGAATAAACGTAATCAGAACAATAGTTACATAATTGACCCCCTTCCCAATATTGAAGCAGATAATCGTAAGTATGTTTCACTTACTTTTATTGGAAAATTCTCATATCGTATAGCCAACTTGTTCAAAGATTCCTTCAGAATTAGCTTTAGAACGTTCAACTCGATCAGTAGCCTATTTGTTAGGAATAAGGATAAGATTGATCCTATGGATCAATCTGGTGTTTACAAACTAACTTGTTTGAACTGTCCATGCTCATATGTGGGAAGGACCTTTCGTAATTTTAAAATACGCCTGAAAGAGCACACACGCTGTCTTAACACTAACACTACTGGTTTTTCTCACTTTGCCGCTCATTTGTTAGACACTGGTCACGATTTTGATTCTAGCATTGGCTTCGACATTTTGCATATGACTTCTAATAAATTCCTTCTGAATAACTTTGAGAACCTGGAAATTTTAAAAAATATTAAATCTGGCCCCTCCTGCTCTCTGAATGCACAAATTCAATTTATTAGTACCCCAACGTTCTCTGCGCTTATTTAAATTAGTTTCAGACTTATACCCCCACTCATTTGATCTTCAATCAGTTACTTACCACAAATTAATTAACTCTCCCAATTTAGATTCTCTTCTCTGTTTCCATTAATTTTTTGCCCACTCGCATCTTATTAAATGTTTTATTAGTTTATTCAAATTCTCCCACGTGGTTGTCATACGCCAAAATTTGACCTTCCCCCTTTTTTTGACATTCGTACTTGTCAACTTAGTTTCCGTTTCCTGTAACAGTAATTTTTCTTTTGATTATCTGCTTCAAATTTCCCTTTTACATATGAATTTTCATATTTTCTTGTTCAGTGTTCTAATTTTCTTGTTAGTATTTTTTGCTTTCTCATTTCCCAGTTTAATATTTTTACTTTCAATAAATTTTGTCACCGCCCCCTATACTCACTTTCAGTAAATAACACCTTTGTTAGTACACTATTTATCCGCTAAATTTAAAATTTACAGTTTACTACATTGATTCGTTAAAAAATCTAGATAGATGTCTTGAGAGTCTGATAATTTTTATTTTTTACTTTTATTAATTGACGTTATATCCTTAAAAATTTTTAAACTGTTTGTGCTTGTAAAAACTATTTTGTGTTGTTTAGTTAATAATAGTCTTACATGTGTTTTAATTAATTTATTCAAACAGACATCTCGCGGTTTAACCTAACCTACAATATTTTAAAAAAATACTATTGTATTACATATGACTTTTTTAACTCGTTTTGTTAAACTTTTAGTAGCGCTTCCTTTATGGAAATAGTCAAGGTGAGTCAAGGTTATTGTTTAACTTCTTTTGTGTTTTTTCTGTTTTTTCTGTTATTTTGTATATGTTAAAGTCCGTTCATGCTTTTATAATTGTTTTTTATTACAACTGACTCCTTGACATTCCATTTAGGTGTGCCTGATGATGAAGTGACAGCTTCGAAACCGGTCTCCAATTAAATTGACTTGTGAGAAATAAAGGACCTTTTCTTTAACCCTTACACTTAATCCCTACTACTCACATATGGCTACCCTCACTCCAAATAATTAAGTCAAATAGAACAATGCGTGAGCATCAACTAACAGCTAATTTCACTAGACACTCAAGGCGACCCAATTCGTTCTGCCAGGAGGAGCGCAGACGACGGTTCGCTACTACCGCCATCAGTTCCCCGCACTCCCCGCTCTTGACTGCCAATGTTCTTTACATTATATTACAATTAGTAATCATACAAAATTTTGTTTACCTGCTAACATATGAAGAGTGCAGGGAAGAAAGGGGGAAGGTCAATTTTTAGGCAAAACGAGTTTATGGTGGAAATTAGTAGCTAAATACCAATAGAATTAGTATGTAGGTCTAAACAGGGAAGAATCGAGGTCTATAAATATTAAAGTCGTGGGTCTTCATATACCATACAGTGAAGAAACGGGGAATGTCAAACATTTCGAATCGAGTCGCGACAGGAATGTACTTGTTTTTTTGACAT